CTCGGAAACCATGTAAAAGTTAAACAGTTCAAGAGTATTTGCTGCTGTAAATTGTTATCCAGAATCCTGGTGCTCTTGGCTGTCTATGTTTTATCTCTTATTCATGTCTTTTCCTTCAATATTTAAGGTCATTTTCTGTTTTATGGCATGACATAAACTGATAACAAAACCCTACAGCCTCAATAGTTACTTTAACCACTTATTTTCTTTTAAACATTTTGTCTTGCCAAATTATTGAGTCAGCTGTAATGACCTTGATGTAAACATGTACTTTTGAACTTATATGAGGATCAAAGGCAAAGCAATGTTAAATGGAGGCTGGAATCTGGAAATGACCCATGCAAAGTTGGCATCCGTCTTCCCTCTCCTTTCATTCATTTTTGCAGTGTGGAGCCCAGAATAAATTTGCTCATTTCAAAAGTGAAGAAAATTTATTTATTTTTTTTTACATTTGCTGGTGCTGCAAACACTGTGGTGTCTGAGCAATGGTCTGCCTCCTTTCTTGCTCTAGCATGGTCATCATCAAGATAAATCTTTCACAAGTGACACAGGCGAAAAGAGCTGTGCTGTTTATTTTCTGACCACTCTTTGCTTGGATTCTCTGACCAGAGTAAAATGCTAGCCAGGGAAAGTAGTAGATAGCTCTCAACTGCAGGTTGCAGTATTTCAGGAAGAACGCTTTGTCTGTAGTGATTCTTTTGAGAAAGAAGTAGGGGGTTCATCACAGGCTTTTTATTCATTTCTAGATGAACAGAAGAACAGATCAGCTGTTTATCCCTTCTAAGAAGGCAGCCAAACCTGAACAGCCAAGTTAGAACTTTGCTGTGCTGCTCTGAAGAAATGAGGGATGAGTTGTGCTGGCAATGGAGGCTTTGATTCTAGTTTGTTCCAACTGTTGATGCTGGAATTGAGAAGGTTTTGGTAATTTATTAAAAGTGACACTTAGCTTTGCTTAAGATGACTTAGAATTCTAAACCAAATCTCTAGAAATCTTACCTGCTGCTGTGAGAACGTGCGGAGAAATAGAAGTCCTTTTCAGAAGTGGCCTCTGTTTTCATGGACCTCCCTTTAAGTGACCAGAGCGTCTGCAGCTTCATCTGGAAAGGAAAGATGTCAGGGAAAACCAGGCCTGCTTTGTCCCTTAGGCTGCACACTTGGAAGGCGGAGATGCATGAAAGCATCCTGACGTACTCTCTGGTGATGTGAGGGCAGTCAGGGCTGAAGCAGCACTAACAGTTTCCTGGGTCTCCTCCACTTTGTCTTGCAGCCTGCTCTTGTCTGGTGGTAATAACAGAAGCTATCTGGGGTCAAGGACAAGAGTGCTTTTCTCTTTCCAAAGAGAAACAAGTTGTTTCCCCCCCACCCTCCTCAAACACCCTATGTTGAAATGAATAAAATCCCTGCTGTAGCTATCACATCTCCTTTACAGAGTTGTTGGGTTTCCAGTGAGTAAGTACCTATAAATGCTAAATATTTAAGAAGTTAATTTTCCAGGCTCTTAGTGGCATTAAACCGTAGATAGAGTTTATGGAAACCTGATTCTCCAGCGGCTATAAATCCCTAACAGTGACGAAAAAGTTGCTGCCTTTTTTTTTCCAGCCACACGGTCTTTAAAATATTAACAGGATTTTTTAAACTTTATTTGGACCAGCAGTCATTTTTCCAGCTGTTGAGCTGATCAACACTTCAGTTTTTTCTTCACTCCCAGCCCATCAGACACTTACATTTTTATTTTAGTTTTTAACAAGGAGGAAGTTTCGCTGACTACTTGGTCTTATTCCTAAAAATACATAGGAGTGTATTTAAAGGAGGCTTGTCACCATTGCCTGGATTGTACAGAGGTCCTCTCTTATCCCATGGGGCAATGCTTTGCAGGCATAAATACAGAAAAGAGGCTGCTGCCACTGTGACATAGCAATAAAATGCTTCATATTGTACGTGCAGTTCTGACATCAATGAGATCTGGCAGTGAAGATCAGATCTAAATCTTCTCAGGACGCTGCAGTCAGTCCATGCTGTGGCATACTGATGGGACAGAGAAGGCTTTGGATATCTTTCTGTTTGCCTTATCAGACCCTCTGCTTGTGGAACTCTTCCCTGGAAATGTTTTCCCCTCCTGGTGTTCTCTGCCATGTGGCTGCTTTCCTGCCTTTGTCAGGAAGGGTGATGTGTCAGTGTTGGTCAGAGTAGGGGAAAAGGATGCTCCTGGGATCCTTGCCCCAGGGTGTTCTCCAGCTTGTTAGACCCAGTGCAAGGAACAGCTTCACTTTACATACAGCTCCTGGTCAAGAAAGCTGCTTGGTGTTGAAGGGAGGTGTTTGTGTAGGGAAAAGAAACCCTTGGGACTGGCTGGGATCCTGGAATTTCATGGTGCAAAGGAATTGTGTGGTGTCCATGCTTCAGGAACACCAAAATTTTTCGAATTGGGTCTGTGTTGATGTTGATGTGCCTTTTGTAACAGCCACTGAGAGCTCTGCACACACTGCTAGTGCTAGAGGAGGTGAAGGAGTAAAGGACTTGAGGTGAAGGGTGAGCTCAGACTGCATGGTGCTCCCTGGTGCTTGGCTGCTGTTGGCTCTGCAGCGTTAATGGTCCCATCATTTGCCTGTGAACGTTTTATAGATCTATATTGATTTGGTTGTATAAAAACAATTATCAAAGAGCATTGGTTATGTTCTCAGCTGGGGAGATTGCAAGGAGCAGACGAGGAAACCGGTGTCTGTAGTTCTCGCAGTGTTCAGCTCCTTTCTGGTTTATAAAAGGAGGTGTGTCAGGGAAATTGCACAATCTGGGACTTGAATTTAAAATGAATAGGGCTTACAGAACCAGATAATTCTCCTAAGGGAAAAATAAATACCCAAGGAAGTTAATGGCTCAGTGTTTTGAGCACATGTTACCAAAAAATGAGAGCTTGACAGCCATGGTTGGGTATGGCCCTTCTCTCCCCTGCCCAGCTCGGGGGTTAGAACATCTGATCATGGCCAGGGGGGTTTCTTGGAGCACTAAGCATACAGAGATGAAGGATGTGTATCTTCTGGCTTGTTGGTAGGAAGGAAATAATGCATGAAGACAGTCACAGCCGGTGACCCAAGCCCCAGAGCTACCTGTGCCTGCTGGGTGCATTTCAGCTTTCAGTTATTGTAGAACAGGTTTAAAAATAAGCTGGCATTTACTGATGTGTATCTGTTAACTTTCTCCTTTCATCTCCAAGTGGATTCTTGGGCAGAACTCCCAAATTTCTTGGAGGAGGCCCTTCTTCACACCCTCCGATACTGAACGCTTTGGGACCACAGTTCTGCATATTCTCACTCCTCTGGAGCCTGATGCAGGACAAGACCCTGCTCTCCTTTGTTTAGTTGTTCTAAAATCGGGCCATTTGTTTGGACTGTTGCCCAAGTATTTTTTACAAGTCCAGACTTCCACTCTGCCCTTGAGAGCTGCTGGTCGTCTCCCTCCCCTCAGGCTTTTGTTTATGTATGGCTTTCCCTAGCCTGGCTTTTGGGGGAGGGAGAAAAACACAAGAAGAGCTGAAAGATCGTGACACAGATGATCGCTTGGTGTTTGTAAATGAAAAAAATCAGGTGGTCACCTTGGCCTAATGTCCAAGGTGTGTTTAACTAAAGGGCAGAACAGCTGACAATCAAAGTTCTTGTACAATAATGGAACATCAATCATTGTTTCATTCATGTTTTTTTTTTTTTTTTTGCTGCTTCAGTAGAACTAGGTCAGGATGAAATCTAATCTGCCTATCACAAAGGCAGTGCTATCACAAGGTCGTTCCTTTCATCCCAGCTGGAAGGCAGGGTTACATCAGACAAGGTGAAATCTCTGAAGTCCATCTTCCACTATGCAGGGGTCACGTTCCAGATGGGCGAGTGGTCTGATTTGCTGCCCTGCCCTCTCTTCCCCGTGGGGGCATCCTCTTCCCTTAAACCAGGGTGCAGAATTGCAGGCATTGCCCCTGCTAACAGAGAAGGGGATGGCTCAGGGATGTGACCGCAGCCGGGAGGCAGTTGGCCTGCTGCCTGTCTCGTGAGGTCGGTCAAAGCCAGCTGCTGCTGTGCTCTGCCAGGTGCCAGCAGACTTGGGCAGGAGCTGCTGCAGTTTTCTCAGCCCCTTGGAGCCCTCTCCAGAAGTCATGCTGTACCACCAGACCGCTGTCCTTTAGCTGTTGGGGATGCAGTGGCTGTGGACATGACATGGGGTAGAACAGAGGAAACAGTTTAGAAAAAGCAGTTAGATCTTCATCTTCCAAGTTCATCGACTCCCAGATTCCCTCTCAGGAGGGAACACGTTGCTATTTTCTTTCTAATAAGATTCTGGATGACTTTTTTTTTTTTTCCTAAAGTGTCATGAGTAAAATGTGGTGTTGCAATGAGGATTTGCTGTGCACAGTGTCCTCCTGAAGACAGATCTATCTGGACTCAGACAGGAGTTCCTGTAGAATTGCACTGTACATAGGGCAATATAGGCTTATGAACTGGCATTATTATTGCTGCCATGATATTTGTATGTCATATTTGCAAAATGCTGCCTACTCCTATTTTAGATAGAACACACAGAATAAACATGGAAAAAGAGGTTGCAATTTACTTTCACACTTGGATGCACAAATAATGCTGAAATGATTCTTGACAAGTTTTGGGGTTGTGCCCTTTGTATAATACTTCCATATCTTACTGGTGTGATTTCTACCTACCATAATTACAATTCCATGGTCCACTCCAGGACTGATGCCTGTAAATTGTTTTGAATGAATGTATGTCTGAGTGTAAGCATGAGGACCCAAGGAGAGGTCCATGGTAGTTAAGCTGTCTGACAAGCAGCTGTTGAAGAGTACCAGGCAGATATTCAGGACTCTTTTGCTGCTGAAGTTGGGCAGCAGATTCAGAAACGAGGAAGAGGTCTGAAACTGAGCTTGAAGACTGTAATGAACCCAAATGAAACCATAGTAAGATAGTAAGAAGCAATACAAACTTTGACATTTTTTATTTTTCTAGAACACACCCAAGGCACAAATGGCAGATGCATTCCACATTTGCTGTCCTCAAAATGAAGCAAGGAGTTCCATGTGGAAGTTAAGGTAAGCTGTATTTCCTTAATTAAAACTGTGTAGTGAAATTCCTGATGGCATAAATGAAAGGACATGGGCAAGGAAGTTATGTTCTCTCTGACATGAAGAATAGGGCAAATGAAACAAGTCTGAGACCTCTCTTTACAAATCTCTGCACATTGTTCTTCTGCTTTGCTGGTTCTAGTGACAGTGGAATGGTGCCAGCCACGTGTCCGTTACATTTTCTCCTCAGCTATGTCTACTGAAGTTCTTGGCACTGGGGATGTGGTCCTGGCATTTGAATGCTGTGGAGTATCAAACCAATGGCCTTCTGCATTTTTGGTGATCAGACTGGGATGCTGTGCAGAACATCAGTCTAACTGGACAGAACTGGGCTGGATGGCTTTCAGAGAATAGTCTTTCATTTATATGAGAATTTGCTTAGCTTCTCTCTGGTAAACTTTCTAAGCCTGCATGATGATGAGAGCAGTTATCAGTGTACTGCAGTGCTTTTGTGATGACTTGCAATCCTTAGGACTTCAGTCTGTGGGAAAGAACAGACGAAGAGCTGTACTGAGTCATCCCAGAAGTGCAAGTAGTCCTAGCTTGTGTCTGGTTTGGGTCACAGCAGCTGTGTAAGGAGGAATCTATAACACGTGGTACTTCCCTTGATGTTACCTTCCTAGCCTGCAATAGTCTGCAACTGAGGAACATTTTGAACCGGAGATTTGTTCTTCGCTTCCCCCCTCTGAGATCAGTGACAGCTGTGGGCTCAGTAACCTCTGAAACCCAGGCATTTCTATATTTAAATGCCTAAATATAGACGTGTAGAGGCCTATGAGCCCGTGGGCACCATTGAAGTGGACTGGAAATTTCACATTTGCCTTTCTGGTGATTGGATCAGGCCCTATTTCAGGTAACCAGCTTGAAAAAAAAAATAAAAATGGATTAAGTGGCTTCTGCAAGATGGTTGAACAAATGGGACAAATGGTTGGCAAAGCTCAGGAGTTCTGGATTCCATTCCCGTGCCCTGACTGCTGAATTAAATTTGTTCTTGCATAGAAGGAGCTCATGCATGCAGCAGAGATTCAAAAGCATCTCAACTGCATCTACTCAAAGCACAGTGCTGCAGAGTTATTTCTTGTTCACTGTTCTTTATGGTGGTGTCTAGAAAGCTTGTAGGATGTTTTAGTATGACTCCTGCTTGCTTAACAATACGGGCAGAGCCTCCACCTTTCGTGTTGATCCAGAGAAGGTTCATAATCTTCAGTCCATCTGTTCCTCCTAAGTGTGTATGTGTGTAACCAGTAGTAGAGATCAATACCTCTCTTTCAAACAGTAGCATTTAGAGTGGGGGAAGCAGAGAACTGTCAGAATGTGCTGCAGCAAGAAGGAGGTATAGCTTGGAGGTGTTTTCTGTGCAGGACACAGCTCCTAAACTCATCTCAGGGAGATCAGCCAGTCTAGCAGTGAGCTGTGCTGCAAGTATGCACCAAAATCCCTTTCCCTTTGAAGCAGGGAGAGTTAAACCATTGACTTTATTGCAGTTGGGTTAAGCCTGTAAATAGTTTGTAATACTTGCATATTATTAGTTACTCTCATGGCTAGATCTAAGCATACTTGATCTCCAGAGGAATTTGACTTTGCATACAGTCAGGCATTCCTCATTTCACATTAGCTGGATAAATGCATGTGCAAAGAAGTGTGGGTTTGTCTTAGCCCAGTTGCTTCTTCCTGAGAGGGTGACGAATGCTCTTTTAGGAACTGGGTGAAATGCAGCATTTCTGAAAAAGCAATCTATAGTTCATCTCAGAACAAACTACGGCTGTGACAGCTGAGCAGGGAACGCTCAGGCTCTGCATAGGTTGAAATCTTTTATGATGTGGGACCGTTGGCATCTGCTGTGCATGTCACAGTCAGAACATAAGGACAGCAAGTGGGCGGTTCAACAGCTGGGATGGGAATTGGGGGTGGGGGGCATGGAGCGAGCTGTCATCTGATGGCTCAGAGCAAAGGGAACAATAGGGTTTGGAATACTGTAACTTAGCACGACTTGCTTCACAGCATATTGAGCTTATTTCAACACCATCTCATTTTTTCTTCATCGCCTCCTATTCCCCGGTATAATTGCACACTTTGCTTACTTCTGTCCTTCCACAGTCATGCATAGAAACTTCCTTGTGGATTTATCATCCAGAAAAGCAGTCAGCAGGTGCACTTGGCACATCACGTGCAAATGAGGGTGCTACGGTGCTAGTGCAGGAGTAACAGCCACAAGGTGAGGAGCTGGATGCTAACAAAAGGAGTATGCCAAGGCCTGGGGTACTTTGTGTATCCCTCAGTCTTCGTGGGGAGAGACCACAAAGTTCAGCATTGGGTGGTTCAGCATGGTCCTGAAGTTGGAGCTGGTTCAATACGCTGGAAAAGTTGTCCTGCTGTGACTTGACGGGAGAATGGCTTGGATAAGCAGACTGGAGATTTTCTTAGAAATGCTTTTAATGCTTGCAGTTGAGTTTTATCGCTCATTAAGCTGTTAGCCTGTTTTGATCTTTATTTCAACAAGGCCAGCTTGCTCTATCTTTATTATACGCGTGTCAATGTGTACATAGTCTGTGTTCCTCTTCTAAGAAATGAGTGAGCTGCATCTTGTCTGGGTGATATCTCTGGGCAAATTCCACACAGAAGGCATTGGGCAGCCACGCCCAGGGTCAGAATTGTCTCAAAATCACCAGGAGTGGGTTTTTCCAGGGATGTATACGTGCAAATGTAAAATCTGAAGCTAGCCATCTTTATTCGCAGTTTCCAAGTACAAAGACTTAGTCGTGTGGGTAGAAAATTGGACTAAAAATAGACTTACCTTACCTGACCTTGCAAGTAAGCTTGATATCTAAGAATCCGTGGGAATGATCCCTGGGTCTGAATTTATTGCCTGTTGTGAGCTGAGCTGTTTCCCTGTCTGAGGGTAGTGCTGTATTGTTCTCTTAAGGGCTGCATGAGTCACGTCTTACGTGGGCTGTTTTATCACTCTAATTAGTCTACAGATTGAGAAAAGGAAAAGTGTACACAAAAGGACAAAGGCAAAACATATTAGTGGCCCTTGTAAACTTGTGAGGCACTCCATATGATTTTCTGGTTGAGAAATAAAACACTCTGAACTCCTTTCATCTAGGCTACAACGCTGAAATGTCTCTTCCATATGTCAGTGGTATAATCTACATAATGAACAAAGCTTCACAGATGGGCTGGCTGATGCAATGGACATTCTTTTCATAAGTTGCCCTCACTTTTATCATTTTTCTTTGGTTTCCCACAAGATGGGCTGAATATTGACAATTACTGAGCTATTACTTCCTAAGTTGCATAACTTATAAAACTGCTGCAATTCAGCGAGGTGGAATTTTGTTCCAGAATAATCAGTGGCACAAAATAGCCAGAGGAAAAGAAGGTAGACATTAAAAAGAGGGGGAAGAAGAAAAAACACTTTAGAATGAGTGTCTTTAATAAATAAATCCACCCCGATTTTCTGCTTTCTTTTTTAACCAATGTCATTAAGTTAATGTTTTTTTTCTCCCTACGGTTTATGCAATGATACAGCTCTTCTGACTGCCTTGGAACTTCTTTGTGCCCTTGGCTTCTGAAGTTTTTAGAACTTGTTTTAGTTTTTATTACAAATGCTTTTTTTAAACTGAAGGCCTTTTAGGAATGCAGGAAAATATTTGTTTTGAAGTCCTGCTTTCACCTTCATTGCTTTCCTTGGCCAAAGATCACCACTTATTCAAATTCACAAAGTTCTAGGACTTCAGATTTTATTTCCGTAAGCCTCCTTGGTAGGTTGGAGATCAAATCCTTTCTGGTTCCTCTCTTAGCCTTTCTCCAAAGATGGTTGGTGGTGACGTGGTTTTAAACTCAGGCTCAGTCTAGCCTCCCAGTTATTGCTGGATCAGAGAAGGTAGAGTCAGAGGCTGAATTTACTATGACCATGCATTCAGGGCTTGGATGAGCTTTGTGGAAAACAAAAGTCTCGTTTATATGAAAGAAGGCATTTTCTTTTGCTGTGTTACGAGGATGCATCATCCCGGCCAAGAACCTGGAAGACATTAAGGTAGATGGGATTGTCAAACATTGAGCTTTTCATTTCTGTAAGGGACCAGCTGAGCTTGTAGTGTATGAGGTGGAACTGCAACCCACGAGTAGGTATGGAGGTGACATTTTGGTTATCCAGGAACAACAGTAAAGTGCAAGAGTTCTCATTTCACATTAGCTACGTGCATGGGGAGAATATAAAACTTTATGTAGCGGTGGCTTCCAATAAAAGGAAAGATATCTCATTCTTGGAGTGAAACTCAGACACTCACCAGTCCAAAGAGTTTGCCTAAGGCCTCCCCAAACTCACAGTCTCCTTTTGTCTTTCACAGTTGCCTGATTGCTGGTTCTCCAGCTCTTACTCTGTCTCTCGGAGTACGTGTGCCACCCAGCTGAAGGTGTGACTGCTCCACCTCGTGTACCCGTACCAACAACCGAGTAACCACACTGGCAGAGGTCTAGGTGCCAAATATCTTCCCAATGTCTCAGGCAAACATGCTGAACCTCCCACTGCTGTCAGACATACTTTTATGCTGACTACTTTGGAGATGTCTAAAATAGTGGCATTAGTACCAAATTGTACTGTAAATGCGTCCTCAGAAGTTCCTGCAGCTAGGATCAAAGCTGCACTGCTTCCAGTAACAGGGAAGTATGCAGAAAGTGTACTCTCTTCTCCAGAGATTATAAATATCCTTCTATATTTTTTCTTGATTTAAAAGAAATGCCAGTGCCTCAGCTTTATGCTGAAGCCATCCGTAAGGGTTTCTGTTCTATCTCTTGCTAGATTCTTTTCAGGTGTTGCGTTAGATAACATCTCCCCTCCTATCCACCTCTCTGGGACCATCACCCGAGTGCCTCTCTCACTATTTTAGGCGTATTGTCCTGATACTTCTTTGGTGCAGAGCATGGAGTCTGTTTTTACAGGCTGACTGAAACAACTAGCCCAG